TTTATTTATTTATTTATTCACTTTCAAGTTATCCATCTAGAATGAGTCTTTAGGAACCCCGTATGCCGTATGTGGCGCTGCCATACTGGAAAGAGCATAGATAGGGTGTTATAAAGGCTCAGCGGTTGCCCCGCACCCTGTGTATCCTCGGACGAGTTTCAACGGCATAGCAGAGGCTGCAAAAAATTGCACGACAGTCAAAGGCGACAGTGAAAGGCAGTTCTATACAGTTCTTGCTCGATGTAGTCAGCTCTTTGCGCACTTGCATCAGCTGAAATCTCGTCCGAATACCCCTTTTATGTCATTTCTGTCATGGTAATCTCGTCCATCCTCTATTATCCCTAATTTTGAAGGGCCTTATTTTTTCGAAAACGACGAATTTTCTCGCTTTCTTCCCTACCGATGAACTATTTCCACCCTAAACTCCCGCTTTTCGACTAAAAAGGGGTACTTCAAAGTTATGGTGGACTGTGTCTTAAGTTGCAGGTTCCCATCATCATTGCAAGCGCACCCTCAGATCGAAAAGGTTTCGATGATTCTTACTTGACTTCGGAGCGTTGCCTTTCCAAAACCCCTTTTTGTATGAGTGTTCTTAGGTTATTCAAGCGCTGGCAGGGGGAGTTCTCATCAGACTTTTCTTTGAAGTTAATTTATATTCAATTGGGTAGGGACAGGGGCCATGTGGAAACTACCACAAACAAACACAACTCATTTACAACGTCCATCGTAACCACTTAAAGAAGCCGATTCTCTCTACCAGGGCATTGGTTTTACTGCTACAGTTAGGTTCTTTTTCGGCATGCTTTGCCTCATGCCATAGCGCTAGCATCGCCAAGTAAAAACTGGGTGTACTGTATTGTAGCTGATACAGTCTGACCTTATTGTCAGACATAATTGAGCTATAAAGATCGTTACAATGTTACCCAGTATTATTCTTTTAATCTCTAATGAGTGCTCATAACAAGCGTCTCCCAGACCGGTCCCCACTTGACTCCGTTTTTCATCAAGTAGAACAATGGGGAGTTTGTTGTCGGAGTCAAGTTCAGTTTTATGAACAAATAATGGCTTTAAACCTATATTTAATGTCATAGTGGACTTTTTTCGCTTCCCAGGGATACCAATTACCTCGGGACACCAAGCACCTCTGATCCCTCGGGGGACTAAGAAAAGACGAATATTTCCCTTTAATTCACACCTACTTCGGAAGCATGCCATAGTTTCGCCCAATCAGAAACTGATGTAGTTGGTGACATAAGCCACAGACCTCGTAGGGCCAAGTACAGGGCTTCCTTTTGCCTTAGGCGGCTAAATTTCTGAATGATTGTCAAGGATGTCTGAATATCGATGTTTGTCCTTCTTTAAATGCGACGACAACCGGCTGATTGACTTTATGAGCAAAGAATTTTTCAAAAAAAGTGTTAAGACTACTGAGAGATTTTTTTGTAAATGCAGTCAGGCTTTCGTAATTTTTTCGGATAATTTTAAGGAAAAAAATATCCCTCATTCCATTTTTTAGTAAAAGTTACTAGCCCCACAACTTTGGCAAAACCGTCATGGGAATTCTCGGTAGAGTTTTCTTCTCGAAGTCGGTCCATAATAGTCGAGATCAGGTCAACTTATACGGGAGCTTCTGATATCAGCTTTTGCAATGGGGACAGCGCAGTGGTGTACAACGTCGTATCACACCTTCATCCGCAGTATCAGATTTACTAAAACTTCGCTGGGTCCCTGATTTATCAATTTTGGGCCTCAGTCTACCGCCTGAAGTACGACGGAGAAGTCGCTCGGGGAAGGCCTAATCCTTCTCTGCTCAAGTTCAGAGCGCTCAATTAGCTTCACCTGTCTAACCAGACGAGGTCATTTACAGTTATTTCTAGCAAGATCAAAAAGTATGTACTCCATGAATCGCAGTACATCACATGCGCGGCTCATCCTTGAGAGATTCAGTATTTCTCAAGCTGAAAGCTTCGTTCTATGAATTACTTCATCAAAAATGGTAATTACTGAGATTTGTTAATGTCAATTGGATGCAGCTTGATGTGGTATCTGGCTAAGTAGGAAAGATAGATATCGATTGATGTTTTTCGATAGACATATTCGTTTCACCGCCGACGTAATCATTTGTGGCGCACCTCGGCTCGAAGGATGTCAAAGACCTAATAAAACATCTTCAATCAATTGTGAGAGAACGGTGGCTGTGGCTTTGCGCCGAAAGGATATCTAGGCCATGCGCATTAGATTACCACCGTGATGAGAAAAAAAACCACTACAAAATCAAATCACAAAACCATCCAGACAAGGAGGAGTCGTCGAGTCGAGAGGTCGAAGGGTTTCTTTAGCGCTTTCCAAGTTCCGAATCGATGGGGGGAACGGGGAGCCATCTACTCAAAATTAGACTATTGACTATTGAATGGTTTGCTTGATCAAGATTCGAGAGAAAATAGCCTCTTCTCCTTAAAAAATTCTAAAATCTCATTTTTTNTTTTTTCGAAAATAATCGATTCCAGAAATTCCTGACGGAGACACCTGCTCACTACATGGAATTCGTGAAAATGGAATATGTCGCTGTAAACCCAATTACTATGGAGATTACTGTCAGTTTACAGGTAAGCTATTGACTCTTTACTCAGGTTTTGAGGTCATTGATGGAAGGGGTAAACAAGTACTCGAAAATGGTGAATGTGTTATCGCATCTGATCAACGTCCGTTTTCCTAATGGCCAATCCGGTGCGGTTGACAACCAAATCTACTTGGGGAAAAAACAAGGATCTGGCGGGTTTAGCAATAGGGACGATGTGGTCGATAATGAAAAGCAAAATACAAGATGTTTTAACGAATGACGACCCAACTTTGAAGCTTTTTAAGAATTTTCTGGCCCGAATGTCTATTTTGGAACATCCCGGAAGTCTAACCTGAAAACCTGAATCTTAATGTGTTGTTGGGAACTCAGCTTTTCTCAACACCTCCAATAATCTCATGGAAATTCGATCTTCCACTCCATCTTTTACAGTCTACTCGTCATGGTCTAGACTTTAATGAGCTCCTTTCCACTCCTCTTTAGCCCTCGAGGCAAATAAATCTCATAAAAATGATGAAGGGGTCTTTAGATATCTCCCAGGAGGGCCTTGGCGAATCAGTCCGTCTCGGAAAGGTGGTCGGCCTCATTGGTCGCCTACCTGAACCTCTAATTGAGGAATCAAGAAGAAACCGATGTAAATAGCGGCAATTGATAGCGTTCAGAGAAAAGAACTCCAAAAAAGCCCTATTGCTGCTTGACCAGGCATTTAAGGAAAGGAACTGAGTACATTGTCACTGTCAAGGACATCTATGACTAACGGCGTCAGGGTGAACTTTTTGTCGGGGCGTCCGTTACTCGTATTTCGTCTCTCGGAGGTCATTTGAGGAAAAGGTGGCTACATAGGGGGAAGATGTAACGGAGGGAAGTCAGTTGGAATGAGCTGTTAAACTTTGAGCTTGAAAAACGATGAGGACAAAAGGAGTGAGGGGGGGGGGGCAGAAGAGGTTGCTTCCAGCCCCTTTTCCCCGTGCAAGCCTCAAATCTGTCCCCGAACAAAAGATACGGTAGTTAGGTTGGTATTCGAGAAGAATAAGATGAATCAATTGGGCAAATTCAATTTCAGCTGATTGCTCGAACAATGACGATTGTGGTGTGGACGGGCTCTGCCAGACTTCACCTACCGATGGCGCAAAGCAGTGCCATTGCATGGGCGGACGGTATGGAGATAACTGCGAGAAAGGTCCCATTCCTCTCTCTTTTCTCTACTTTTTGACTGAATTTTCACGTACTAATTTTGAATTTGAATTAATTTTTTTTTTGTTTTTAGAAAGTCCATCTATGAAATCCAGTTTCGAGTTCAATGAGTCACTTTACAATATGAGGGAAGCTGATAACAACAAGATTTTCTGGAGAATTCTGAATGTAAGTCTTACTGGTATTAACACTTCCTCCGGGATTCCCTGACAGCTTTGATGCTCCGCACTCGGTGCGATTTGGGCCCTTCCCTCAGAGCGAAGCAAAGTAAATTTCAAGTGTAATTTCCATTAAAACAAGTAAATCTAAAACTTCGAAGCATTTCAAGCTGGCCCAGGATCCCATTTTAGTAAAAGGTATTGTAAAATAACATATTTCAGGACGAAATCGAGGTGGTCTTACGATACCCAGGTGAATCATGGGTTGCTCTAGGATGGAAGCCACAAAATGCTGAATGTCCCCAGATCGCCAATCAGTTCGTGGCTTCGAGTGAGTCTGATTTTTTGTGCGCTACTGCTGACAATTGATGAGGGTAATCGTACGGTGTTCCTGCCACGATGGGCTTTAATTCTCTGCAGTACTGTAGTAATTTTCCAGCTACGCAGCCATCAAGCAGTCATCCTCTCCACAAGGTCGAAATCACTCCACGGGAAAAGCTTCCAGTCACAACGACTATACGAACAACAGTTCAAGTGACGACTAGGATATCTCCTGGCATTACCCCTCTAGTTACCACCAGGATCGCTCCCATCAACATCACTACGACATCTTCTAGTGAATCAGGTAGCAGCAGCACGTGGTCTAGGGCTCATGAATTCCATAGTGAACCTTTTTTTCAGTCGAAGAATGTGGTCCTAATGAGCAATGGTCAACGTGTCCCGAAATGTCCCGTGACTGTGAACCATCGTGTGACTGGACGAGATTCCCGGAAACCATTCCAAACTGTCCCAGATCATGTGGAACTGCCCGATGCGTTTGCAAGGTATCGCTCAGGCTTTGCATGAAAGCCCCAACTAGTAAAACCTAATGATGACCACTTCAGGAAGGTTTTGTTCGAATGACCAATGACGAAGAGGCTTGCGTCCCATTTGATTTCTGCGATAAGGAGGTGAGGATCTAATCCC